TTAAAAAATGGATTTTCGGAACGTGATTTAAATACACATCGTTGTTTTCAGCGTAAAATTCTCTTTAATTTTCGTCATATGAAGAATTAAAAAATTTTTGAAAATTAGAGTGTAGGGTGGGGATATACAATAAATAAATGTAAAAAAAATTTTTTTATTATAGTTGTAAAGTACTCTTGCAACCATTCAATTTTTATTCTAGAAAATGTTTTCTATCTCTTATAGTTTCGAAGATATTCGTTTCGAAAGAAAAAAACCGATTTTCTTCAAGGGAGGATTTCACCCCCTTAACATGCGACTCCGCACGTATAAAAAAATACGTGTCTCTTATTTTTGTCTATAGAACAACATACTAAAAGCTCATTTAAATTGGAGAGATCCACTTGGTTGTGTTCCCTTGTGAGATGGTACATATAAAAAAACAGACACACGGTATAAACAGACAAAATGACACAGAGTCATTGCCCGAAATGTACACCAATATGATACATTCCCTATCCTCGTTTTAAATGTGTCTTTCCTTGTTATTTTTATTAGTTTATCCTTTGACTTTCTATTCCAACGACATTATCCTATTTACTTTTGCAATGAAACGTGTTCAATTTTGACAGCTGCAAAGTATCTCTTTTTATTACTCCAAATATATTTTATAATAAATTGACGCAAAGGATTTTTACACATGGACTGATCACAAATTTTTATTTTATTTTTGACAAGGTATATATGACTTTTATATTTGTATTAGATTTTAATATTTTTGATATGGTTAATATGACATTTAGTAATTGAATTCTTAAACAATGTTAATTTTTATACTTTTTATCAGGATCAAAGATAAAAACACATACAAATACGAATGTTCAAATTTTATACACGGAATCTATGATTTTCAACAATATGAAGATTGTATAATGTTAATTTAATTTTAAGTAAAATTATTGTGTCATTGAAAATGACCCGATCGGAGTCGAAACGTCTGAAGTTGTATTAATATATGAATTAAAATAATTCGTTAAATTAATTTGGCTCTACGCCCTATTTATATTTTTATATTGTTTAAAAAAAAGCATTCAAGATCCAGCTTGACCGTAAATGGCTTATTCTCGCCGGTATTTAGTTTGTAACTTTCTCGATCCAAATAAGAGTTTGTAAATTTTTTTCTTTATAATATTGTAAGTTGTTGATAATATTTTTGTATGTATTGTGACTCATGAGCAACGGCACAACTTCGTCGCGTTCTTTTATTATGCGATAGTTCTCAATCACGATCAATAGTACTTGAAGGAGCATAAAGTGCGGTTCGTCTTTAAATTCTTAGGTAATTAAATATTTTGCGTTATTTAGCAGCTTACATTAATGGACAATGATCTCGCTTGTCCTCTCACTTCCGTTGGGCGCCAGGCACGAGAGAGTGTGCTACTCTTCGCACAATTAAAGTGATAGTTTGTTTGGACATAGAAATCGATAGTCTAAAACAGATTACCGCGACGGACGACAATGGGTAGCTCACGGAAGGGGAGCGGTTCGCGGTGTGCGGGAAGAATGTCGGAGAATGAGATAAAGAAAGGCTGAAATAAGTATACAATAGTTAACAATAATGACAATGGCGAGTAATCAATATATTTTACCTTCGTGAACTTGGCACTCGACAATAAAAAAATTAAAATTTTTTACACAAAATGATAGTATTTTATTTGTAATTGTTTGTAGTAACAATAATTTAGTTTGTAGTTACTTGTATTAAAAAATATAAAGGCTTAAAAGAATGACTGTCACCCGATATTAACAAAAAAAAAATTGATAATATAAATATTTCTATTCAGAATCGTTTGTAGTTGTTTGTAGTGATTTTGCTTTCGTTTGTAGTTGAGCCGTCCAAAAGTTATGATAAATTAATAATAAACAAAAAACGTAACTTTGTCAATTTTAAAAGTATCTCAAATCTGCTTGCGGGACTTAGATTTAGAATCGTTTGTAGTTGTTTGTAATGATTTTGCTTTTGTTTGTAGTTGCACCGTTGCGAGATGTAGTGGGGACTTCCCGCGGCGCCGCGCCGGTGCATCTGCTACAGTTCTCGAAGCAGATTTGAGATATTTCAAACAGATTTGAGTTATCTTTAAAATTGACAAAGTTACGTATTTTGTATATTGTTAATTTATCATAACTTTTTAATGGTTCAACTACAAACGAAACCAAAATCACTACAAACAACTATAAACGATTCTGTGAATCGAAATATATTATCAATTTTTTTTGTCAGTGTCGGGTGACAGTAATTTTTTTTAACTTTTATATTTTTTTAATTCAAGTAACTACAAACGAAATACTACCATTTTATGTAAAAAAATTTTAATTTTTTTATTGTCGGGTACCAAGTTCACGAAGGTATACGAGTATATTTCGCGAGATCATTACATGGGTGAATACAAAATCATCGAATAAACGTCGAACCTCTTCCCCGACCACAGGCGTCTCCACGGGGCTTGGAGTATCCGTGGATGTCTCGTCCGGGCAGATTTATCATCATGTGTTACATCTCTTTCTGAGGCGTCTACAATTAAGATGCGATAACCAGAGTTTCACACAACAATACACTAAATAGAATATAGAATTGTTCGACCTGCGTGCACCGCGTTTCCTGATGACGTAGCAACTCAGGTCCCTTCGAGTCGCTGTTTTCTCTTCCGGTATGAAGTTTTCGTTCTTCCGCTGGCGAGTAAGACGGCAAAAATACACAAACATAGCGCAGTTACCGACCACGTCAAAACACGAACTCAAGATCGTCGTAAAAATAGCTGAAAGTAACTAACTTATCATCTATAAGAAATATAATCTGCACACACTCGCTTGTGCGCTCGCCCTTCGAGCCAAGAAGGATCCAAGATTTCCGCGTAACCACAGCCACAAGTGACTGACAAAAATGTCACGTCAGAGTGTAAATTAATATAAATTATACAATATAAATAATAAAATTGAAACAACCTAACTTCCGCGCGGATCAGCTCGTCGCAAACGCTAGTCGCAAAAGAGGTTCGCACGGGAAGAGAGAATGCAGAAACAAATAATGAAACTCGACACAGTATTTTTAAGACAAGAGACAGAAACGTTTATTTTGTTGTATTATGTGTGTGATGTACAGGTATCGGTGTGCGTGTTCGTGTAGATTTACAAGTATAAGTGTGTGTGTGCTTGTAATGTACGCAGTACATATGTATGTATCGACGAGACGGCAGACAGACGGGACGAATTCAATAGAAACGAAAGACGCGGACAGAAAAACAGCAAATATCAATTACGGCGCGAGTACTACGAAAAACGCGTGGGGATCTCCGAATCCCAGGACGGACGCGAAGCGCGGTCAGCGGTATAACTAGAGTACCTATAATGAGAGTATGGCCATAAGAGCGGAAATCGCCATTACTGGGACTACGCCGGAAAGAACGGAAAATCGCGCGCAGCGTTTGAACACAGCGAAGTGCACATCTTCACTCCATTTGACGGTCTTGCACCACAAGAAATGCATCGCCCCATGGTTGTTGTCTGAAACTCGAGTTATGATAAAACGTACACCACGCTAATCCATTAATATCCAAAAAATACAATATATTTTTACAATGTAAAGTGAAAGGTAAAAAGTAAAACGTCTATATTTTAATAACAAAATAATTTATAAACAAAATTGTACAATTTATTAATTTAACCCTCAGTCCTCAGTTGTCATATTGGGTATGGCATATTCGAATGATTTTTTCATCGGACTGTACTGTGCAAAAGTGTTTTTATCATATTTAAAGTAAAAATACAGCAATTCAAAAATCTTACGGATGCAATTCACACAATGCGTTCTTGATGACAGCTCGAACGGAACTAACCTTTTGGCTACGTATACTAATAAGCAGCCTGATACACCGATTCACAGATTCACTAACACACCGATTTGGTCCTACATATGGCGGCACCAATCACGAGAAGGTACGCTTATGGCCATACTCTCATTATAGGTACTCTCATTATAGGTATACGCCAGCGGCGGATGACGATCGCGGCGCGGATGACACGATGGGCGTTCCCTCTACGCAATGAGGGATGCTTCGCGGAATGTAAGAGGAACGGATACACTAACGACCGACTGCCAAGAACGCTTGGCGGAGGCAAAGAACACTTTACCCCCTTTTCTCGTCGGTGCGCTAGTTCTAGAATAGGATAGCGGTCGCACGGGTGGTCGACTGTCAAGAACGCTTGACGGAGGCAAAGAACGCTTTGCCCCCTTTTCTCGTCGTAATGCTAGCGGATCAGGATATCTGGTGATCGACTATCAAGAACACTTGACCCCCTTTTCGCGTCGTATCACTGGAGCTAGGTGAGGATCGGAGCGGAATTCGTATCGGAGCGGCGGTTAAGATAGAAGAGAGCTCTTGGAGCAATAATTACGCGTTTTATACTAATTATTGCTCCCGCTCGTATTATTACGGCTCTTTACGATATCGCTCGGCGGTCGGTAATTCCTGCGGAGGGAATTGCCGATCGGCGATATTCGGTCGTGTTCGTCGTAGCGGCGGTGAGCGCGAAGCGCAGATCGTTCGGCGATCTTCGGACGCGTTCGGTCGGAGCGGCGATAGCTACTGTCGACGGCGGTAATTAATCTTATATCGCAATATGTAGCGTTCTTGGCAGCTGGTATCGTCGGAACGATGCATTGCGGGGTGCATCGTTACAAAATATACCTTTTACCATTGTTTTTGATATTTATTATAATAATACGAAAAAATACGTTTGCGAAGGTATTCCGATTTATATTTAATAGATATGTGTGCTTGCGTGCGTGCGTGCGTGCGTGGGTGGGTGCGTGCGTGCGTGCGTGCGTGCGTGCGTGCATATTCGTGTGCGTATTTATAGAAATTAATTAAAATAAATATGAAAATCTACGTATATGTTCAATAGCAAATATTTTTATAATGAAAAAATGTATTTTATAGTTGTTATATATTGTTTTGTTTTAGACTTATATCGTTTGCCGAATTTCAAGTATTTGAAGGTCTTCTGTGTGTACCAGATGCTCTATATAAGACAGCTTTTCAACTCTTCGATACTAATGGAAATGGAATGGTTGCATTTGGTAAGGACTATTATGAAGAAATTGTCATTTCTTTTTTCGAAATAACTAATATGTCTTTTATATAGATATATATTATTTCCAATTTTCAGACGAGTTCGCTGAGGTGATGCGGAAAACTGTACTACACCAAAAGATGCCCTTTAATATGGACAGTAGTTTTATCAAACTCTATTTTGGAAAAGATAAGAGTAGACTGATTAGCTATGCAGAGTTTAGTCAGTTTTTGCATGTGAGTATCATATTTTATTGCACCCTTGATTGTTGATTTGCTTGTTATTCTTGCATAGAAAATAAGGCAAGTATGACATAAAGAATGACAATGATTATGAAATACATATACTATTAGGAGTACAAATTAGTTCGATTTGTTTTCCAAAAGATGGCTCTGGCTGTTGTGAACGGTTCATAGTGACAGCTGATTTTGCCGCCTTCAGAGAGGTTAGACATCTGCTAATAATATTTAGTTTATATCGCTTTTTTATATAGTTGAGTTTTGTAAGATACAAAAACCTTGATTTACTGTGTTTGAAATATAGAATTTGTGTTAACCAAGTAGCATTTGCGGGAGGTTTTAATTTTCTGCTTTAATTGGAAGAAAAGTGCAGTTGAAGCCCATTGAATGCTTGTCGAAGTTTATGGCAATACCGCTCCAATTGATAAATCATGTAGGGAATGGTTTCGACGTTTCAAGGATGGAGATTTCAGCGTTGAAGACAAGCCTCGCTTTGGACAGCCAAAAATATTCGAAGACAAAGAATTAGAGGCATTACCCGAAGAAGATCAGAGTCAAACGCAAGAGAAGCTTGCAGAATCATTGGGAGTAACTCAACAAGCCGTTTCTGTACGATTGAGCGCCATGGGAATGATTAAAAAATAAGGAAATTGGATGCCTTATGAACTGAAACCGAGAGACATTGAAAGGCGATTTTTCACTTGCGAGCAGCTGATTTAAAGACAACAAAGAAAAGATTTTTTGCATCGGATTGTGACTGGAGATGAGAAGTGGATATTCTATGTCAATCCCAAGAAGAAAAAACACTATGCTAAGCCCGATCAATCGTTGCCATCGATCTTAACATCAACACCAAAGCCGAACATTCATGGTTCGAAGATCATGCTCTGTATCTGGTGGGAAAAAAGGGTATTGTTTACTATGAGCTGCTGAAACCTGGCGATTCCATTACGGGAGATCGATATCGGTTGCAATTGATTCGCTTGAGCCTTGCATTGTGACAAAAACGGCCGGAATACGAGCAAAGAAATAATAAAGTTATTTTTCTTCGTGACAACGCTCGGTCTCATGTCGCAAAAGTCGTAAAAAAATATTTAGAAACACTAAAATGGCATGTTTTACCTGTCGTATTCTACGGACATTGCTCCTTCTGATTACTGGTTGTTCCGAAGGATGCAGCACGATTTGGCAAGTCACCGGTTCACTTCTTTCGCAGAAATCGAAAATTGGCTCCAAAATTGGATCGCCTCCAAAGACGAATCATTTTTTAGAGATGGAATTCGAAAATTGCCTGAGAGATGGGAAAAAGTAGTAGCCAGCGATGGACAATACTTTAATTAATCTGTTCATTCATTTTGTTTTGAAATAAATGCAGTTTTGAACACAAAAGAACGGACCATACTAATTTGTACTCCTAATATTATATAACGCTATATATCTATTTTGTCTTTCACATATACTTAATAGTCTGGGATCTATTGACGATTTTTTGTATATGATTTGATAACCTCTGTAAAGTTGGTACCTCATTTTTAAAAAAATGAAGTTTTCGACACATTTTCGAATGCACCCTGAAGGGTTCTAGTGTTTCTGCCCAAAATAAAAAATAGTTCCGGCGAATTAACACAAAATATTGAATATTAAAAATTTGGGGTGTCAACTTCACAAAACACAAAACGACCAACAGCGATATCTTCTAAATTATTAGTCATAGCACTTTAATTGATAATAACTTGTTAGATTTGATAAGAGGATATTTTCATTCCGTAATGAAAATGAACGTATATCTGAAAAGAACTCTTGTGGTGCTATTCAGAACTGCCAATGGAACTGCCGTAACGTAAAAAAGGTTTTTTTTCGATTTGACATATGATATCGGTAATTATGCACTTTAGGGGACCCAGCTCCGATGACCTTGACTTTGACATATATTGTCAAGGTCATGATTCTGAGCAACTTTGCCTTAACAACTAGGCGGCGCTCTCTTATAGTTTCTGAGATATTTAGACCTAAATGTCTAATTTCATATAATACAATAATATAACTTTCCGATAAATATCTAGAAAATGGGAAACACATAGTTTGTTTGTAAAGTACTGAATGTTGCGAAGTGTATGCGTGGATGCAGTGGGTTCCGTCCCCTCCTGTGGGAGGGCTCCACGACTGTTAAAAATAACCTAACCCAACCCATTTAGTGGTGAGATGTGGCTCTTGCTTCGCAAGTTTAGAAAGTCGAAACCATACCACTGAATGGGTTGGGTTAGGTTATTTTTGACAGTTGTGGAGCCCCTCCGGAGGGGGGTTGAACCCACTACATCTATGCATACACTTTATACACTTCTTATTTCTATGTTGTAAAGTATATGTTTTGTTTCTCTCAACCCGTGTATCTATTATTTTATCAAATAAAGTAGATAGTAATAGTATGTAACACTTATTTATTTTTCCAGTGTCGGTGGACATATTTTGGCCATAATTTCAAAAAATACAATAATATGTCTTTTCGGTAAATATCTAGAAAATGGGAAACACCTACTTTGTTTGTAAAGTACTGAATGTTGCGAAGTGTATGCGTGGATGCAGTGGGTTCCGCCCTCCCTGTGTGGGGGCTCCATGACTGTTAAAAATAACCTAACCCAACCCATTTAGTGGTGTAAGGTAGATTTCGCTTCGTGTAGAAAATCGAAATCCATGCAGAATAGTACAGGCATGTGACTTTCTATGCGAACATACTTCTATGGTTGTACTATTGTGTGTGTGTGCATGAATTTCGACTTTCTACACGAAGCGACAGCTACCATACACCACTAAATGGGTTGGGTTAGGTTATTTTTAATAATATCAAAACGTAACAGGACTACGAGCCATGAAAATAAATACATTTAACAAATAAGTTGAAAATAAGAGAAAAGAGCCAAATAGTTTTCTTAAAAATTATAAATATAATGAAATCAAATCATAATACATTAAAATAAAATTCGCAAAATTCGCAAACATAGTAAAATTAGTAGGTAAAATTCACATACGTTTCGACACCGATCGAGTCATTTTCAATGTTAAATTTAAAATTAAGTGTGTATAATAGAATTAACGAATCAACAATAAATTACATGTGTATAATTATAATAAAATTAACGAGTCAAAAATATAAAATTAAATGTGTAAATTGAATAATTAATTAACGAGTCGTAAATATAAAATTAAATATGTATAATTAAATATGGATCTTCCTTTGTGTTTTGCCTCACAAGAGCTATACAAATCTATTGACAAAAAGGTATACAAATTTAAAAACTTAATTATAAATAAGTAAATTGTATATATTACCTTAACAGAAATGTAATAAAAAATGTATAATCCAGTATAAAAATCCAGTAGATCCATTATTAAAATTAAATAAATAAATAAAATAGTCTAAATTACAGTTATAAAAATCGACTGTACTGTTTGAAATAAAAATAAGAAATGAGTAGGCAGAGACCTCAGGAAAGGACAGAGGAAGGGAAAAATTAAGAAGTGGAAAGAGAATGTATCATGTTAGTATAACAATCTGGCAATGACTCGGTATCATTTTGTTTATTTATACCATGTGTTTGTTTCTTTATATGAACCATTTCGGATATCAATCTTTTATTATAAGATGGTTCCATATCTAAAATTTTTACATTGCTCCAATTAAAATCATGATTTGTTTCTATTCTATGATTAGATATTACAGATGGAGATTTAGAAGTTTTATTAATATCCGAAGAATGTTCATGTATTCTTGTTTTTAATTGTCTCTTAGTTTGGCCAACATAACTTACATCACAGTTGTCACAGGAGATTTTATATACCACATTTTGATTGTGTGTGTATTCTAATTTATCCTTACCTCTTTTTATGAAGTTTTTTAGTGTATTAGGTATGGTATAAGTAAGTTTGCAAGTAAAAATGTTAGCAATAGGCTTAAATTTATTAGAGACAGAATCAACAAACGGAATAGCAAAAAATTTTTTTAAATTATTATTATTATTATTAGAACTAATTTTATTAATGTGGAATTTTAATCTATTTTTTATTGTTGTGAAAATAAAATCAAGTGGATATCCATTAAGTAAAAAAATATTAATAGCATCAATCAAATTTTTATTATGAAACTTTGGATGACATAATAGAATTATTTTGTCAATGATACCATAAATTACTCCTCTTTTATGACATAAAGGATGATGTGAATGAAAATTGAGGAATCTGCCTGAAAAAGTAGCCTTACGATAAGCGTCAAATATTAAACTATCTTCATTAACTATAATCAAAGTATCTAAAAAACTAATCTTTCCTTCATTGCCAATTTCCATAGTAAATTTTAGCCTTGTATGTAATGAGTTAAAAACATTCAAAATGTCGTCAACTTTATCAGAAGGAGCTGCTAAGATAATATCATCAACATAACGATAATAAAAATTGAGATGAATAGGTAATAGACTAATAGCAGTTTCTTCAAAATCCTGCATAACCATATCTGCGACTATTGGTGATAATGGCGATCCCATAGGAGTACCAAAAATTTGTTTATAAACCTTTTTATTAAAAATGAAAAACGTTGAATTTAAAACTAGTTTGAAAGCAATCAAGAATTCATTTAGTGGAATATCAGTTTTTTTGGATATGGAATCCCATCTCTTTACAACACTATCAGATGCCAAATCTATAGGTATATTTGTGAAAAGGGAAACCACATCCAAGGAATACATTTAATTTAAATATACTAATTTAATAACATATTATAAGAAAAACAAATTAAAAACAGTGAAAACATAATGTGAAACAAATAAAACATAATAAAAACAAACGTTTCGATCCCTGTTGGATCATTATCAATGTATAAATTAACGGTTAATAATTAAAAGACGCATATAACGGAGAATTACAACAAATAAGAAACAGATGAAATAATAATTACATAAAAAACAGAGAGAGAAAAATTACATAAATTGACGTGGACGCTTGCCATCTCTCTCATTTTTCGCATATTATTGAAATTTCATTAACAATTCCTGTGTGCGTAAGAGACTCAAAGCATCTGTTAAAAATATATATATACCGTAATAATTGCATATTCATTATAATAATAATTTTCGAAAAAACATATATAAAAAAACGAAGTAATCACTTAAATATAATGACAAATATATGTATGAAAATAAAAATAGAAATCTTTATTGTGTAACACATATTATGTATTACATTACTTCAATTAATGATAATTAAAACAAGTTAAACCACTTCGAATACAAAGAAATTAACATACCTTAATCATTTTTTGCGACGTGAATTAAAATCATAATATTCAGAATATGACAAACGAAGAAACAAAGTAAAACCATGTTATCAGATATGTTTCCGAGACAGTTTTAATATTTAAATATTTTAACTCAAACTGGAAGGTGACAAGGAAAGAAATCATAGAGGGGATGGAAAATAAGAGAAAGGAGGGAGGAGAAAAGAAGGGGAAATGTATTAAGAAGGGGAAAGGGATTGTATAATATTAGAATAAGTATCAGGCAACGAATCAGTGTCATTCTGCTTATTAAGACCCTGTTTTTGTCTTTTAATGTGAATCATCTCGGATACCAATCTTTTATTATATGAAGGTTCACTAT